AGTCGCAAAAACCATCAAGCGTTATAAAGAAACTGGCTCACATGAGGACCGCCCCAGGAAAGGAAGACCAAGAGTCACCTCTGCTGCGGAGGATAAGTTCATCCGAGTCACCAGCCTCAGAAATCGCAGGTTAACAGCAGCTCAGATTAGAGACCATGTCGATGCCACACAGAGTTCTAGCAGCAGACACATCTCTAGAACAACTGTTAAGAGGAGACTGTGTGAATCAGGCCTTCATGGTAGAAAAGCTGCTGGGAAACCACTGCTAAGGACAGGCAACAAGCAGAAAAGACTTGTTTGGGCTAAAGAACACAAGGAATGGACATTAGACCAGTGAAAATCTGTGCTTTGGTCTGATGAGTCCAAATTTGAGATCTTTGGTTCCAACCACCGTGTCCTTGTGCGACGCAGAAAAGGTGAACGGATGGACTCTACATGCCTGGTTCCCACCGTGAAGCATGGAGGAGGAGGTGTGATGGTGTGGGGATGCTTTGCTGGTGACACTGTTTGGGATTTATTCCAAATTGAAGGCATACTGAACCAGCATGGCTACCACAGCATCTTGCAGCGGCATGCTATTCCATCCGGTTTGCGTTTAGTTGGACCATCATTTATTTTTCAACAGGACAATGACCCCAAACACACCTCCAGGCTGTGTAAGGGCTATTTGACCAAGAAGGAGAGTGAAGGGTGCTGCGCCAGATGACCTGTCCTCCACAGTCACCGGACCTGAACCCAATCGAGATGGTTTGAGGTGAGCTGGACCGCAGAGTGAAGGCAAAAGGGCCAACAAGTGCTAAGCATCTCTAGGAACTCCTTCAAGACTTTTGGAAGACCATTTCAGGCGACTACCTCTTGAAGCTCATCAAGAGAATGCCAAGAGTGTGCGAAGCAGTAATCAAAGCACAAGGTGGCTACTTTGAAGAACCTAGAACTGACTGCTGAAGCTTATAGGGAATCCAAATGTTTTGGATTGTTGGGTGTTTCTGTCTCTGCCTTTGTGAAGCGCTATGAGATGACTTGTTGTTGTAAATATGCGCTATACAAATAAAATTGAATTGAATATAAGACATATTTTCAGTTGTTTCACACTTTTTTGTTAAGTATATAATTCCACATGTGTTAATTGATAGTTTTGATGCCTTCAGTGTGAATCTACAATTTTCAGAGTCATGAAAATAAAGAAAACTCTTTGAATGAGAAGGTGTGTCCAAACTTTTGGTCTGTACTGTGTATATATATTGATGGGTATTTAAAATGGTGTCTGTAATATTTTAGATTGATACTGTATATTGAGTACCTTCTGAGATAATTTCTTCACAAACTGCCCGTCGACCCATTTTCAGCAGGTTTTTTTCTCTCATTGAAATCTGAGGCAGAACAAGTTCTAGACAATGGAAGGCCTAATTTTCACATACATTTGGATCATCCACAGAGTGAATCCTGTCTACAGATGGTCCTGGTATGTTCTGGAGGTAAAATGATCCTTCCATCGTCTAGAACTGGTTCTGACCAACCACAACCACACATGTTGATATGAGCCTGGAAAGTTTACCCAGAATGCACTTTTTAAAGTTTTCTCTGGTGAATGATCAGAAACCAGAACCACATCCAGGATACCGACAATTGTTTCTATGACTCTGTGTCGTAGACATTAAACTGTTCACACTGTGATACATCCCATAATACTGATGCTACCAGCTGGTTACAGAGAAAATGATCAGAAAGCAGATCCAGTGTTCAGACTGTGACACCTGGATGGATGTAAAACTGATCTGGTGTCAGTTTCTACCAGAACCCAGATGTGTTCTTCCTCCTAAATGTCATGTGTCTATCTGCTGTACTGATGAAGTTCTGAGGCTCAGAAATGATGGAAAAAGTAACTCAAATTTTGAAGCTACGATTCTGAACTCACTTTCATTGTTATGAAAATGTACTGGTATATTGTCAGTACAAATTGCCTGTACATAAGCGTGTGAACATGAAATTCAATTTTAGGAACTAGTTATATATCTTACCACATGTGCCAACGTCTGTCTAAGCAGAACTGCATGTAGCAGACGTCTCACCACAAATATCCTGTTGTGAAACATGTTCCGAGAACTCTTGTGTGATTACAAAGTGATAATTGTGTCCCTACATAAACTCGGGCTATGCCTGAGTGCCTTCTCACATACATTATGCATTCATTGTATTGGTGTGTGCTTCCTTGCTGGAAATAATAAAGAAAACATCCTTAGACAAGAGAGAGTCTTCAGAGTGTTTATTGAGAATTTCCGTAACATTCATGGACTTTAAGGGCCTGAAACTCTGAAATGATCCACAGTATGAAGATAAAACTTTGCCTCAATAAACATACTAAAGTCATTGTACATAAAACCCAGCTGATTGTGAGGAAGTCAAGGTGGATGGCTTGTTGATTTTTCATGGAATGATCAATATGTGGGTGTTTGTCTAGTTCCTGTTTGAAAAAGATCTTCTGTCACACTATGGACAGGAGGAATGATTTCTTTGTTCACTGTCCTCATGTGAACCTACAACAACTACAGTTCAAACCTGGAAACAGTTGGTGTAACCTGTTGGTCTGGTCACAGTGACTGATGAACAAAGATCACAGCCAGTGATTAGATAAAACATGCACCAACAAGAAGACAGATAACATCTAGAGAAGAATGTTCTGCTCTCTTTAAGTTTTACTTTTTGTTCTCTTAGGGACATAGCTAGTTTGTAGTTAGTGTCATGTGCAGCATTAGTGGTTATTTTGCCACCAATGCATATAAAAAAATGATCTTTTGTATTTTATACTTTATATGTGAACTATGAAACTATTCTTGAAGTGACTACAGCCCTGTGTCATATCATTTAAATGTGAACATCTACATTGTGTCTTCTTGAAGTAATCAGATTACTTCCTAGTTGAACAGGAGTATATTTGCTAATGTTTAACATATTATAATGCTTACTGAGTTTACTTGCAATAAATCTCTCACAAAACCAAAATGTGTACAATCACTTTGCATAAATTAAAATTCATTCATTTTTAAGGTGAATTATGAACCACTTAGAAATAGATCTTTATATTTTACGTTTAACATGTAAATGCATACCAGAACTGTTCTGACAAACAATTCTGATCAAAATACACACAAACATCACAGCAATAAAGGAGAGAGTTCAGTCCTGGAATATCACTTCAGTTAAAGTGACATGTTCAGTTATTTTTCATTATGTCACTGAATCAAAATCTCTAATTTTGGACAAATAAATCAAATGATATGTGATTGTGGTTAAGCAGAAGTCTGACAAAGGAAAACTGAAGTCGTCATGAACTATGTTTTGTGTTATTGTGACCTGCAGCTACATGTGGTTCAGACATTATCACTGGTTCACTTCTGCTTTATCAGTTTTTCTGTTAATATGAGCTGAAGGACAGAACTTTTCATGAAACGGTTTTTCTTTTTCTATTTCAACTTCCCCAGAATCAGAGATTGTCTGATCTACTTGTCCAATATTGCAGATGCTGAATTCGTGACATGATGAGAAATAAAATTTTAGGTTTTTATCTTTAATAGATCCTCAGATATTGTTGTTCAAACAACCTCAAATTGTTATGAGTAAAAAAACCTGCTGAAAATGGGTCGACAGGCATTTTGTGAAGAAATGATCTCAGAAGGTACTCAATATATCAATCTAAAATATCACAGACACTATTTTAAAAACCCATATATTACATGTTAAAATATATATCCATCCATCCATCCATCCATCCATTGTCTATACACCGTTTAATCCTCACCAGGGTCATGGGGGGCTGGAGTCTATCCCAGCTGACTCAGGGTGAAGGCAGGTTCACCTGGACAGGTAACCAGTCTATCACAGGGCTACACTTAGAGACAGACAACCAAGCACACTCACATTCACACCTACGGACAATTTACAATCACCAATTAACCTCAACATGTTTCTGGACTGTGGGAGGAAGCCGGAGAACCCGGAGAGAACCCACGCTGCACGGGGAGAACATGGAGACTCCACGCAGAAAGATCCCGGGTGTCCTCACCGGGACGCCAACCGGTGACCTTCTAGCAGTGAGGCAACAGTGTTAACCAACTGCACCACCTTGCAGTATATATATATATACTGCAAGGTGGTGCAGTTGGTTAGCACTATATATATATATATATATATAAAACATTTCAAATAAATCAGAGATGTTGGAGCAGAAGGCTCCTGATGATGTGAGATGAAATAACCCCACAAATCATTCCTGTGTTTAACTTGAACATCAGAGCTTCACTGGTGGCTGAACACAAGTAACTGTCCTTTACTCAATTCTCACATTCTGAGGCAGCATCTGTGCAGAAACATCAACTCAATGACTGATGTGTAAATATGAGGAAACAGACAGCCGGGTATCAGCTGGGCTGAAATGTTGTGTATGAGGTGGTTGTGTGTCAGACATCTGTAGTTTATCTGCTTTAAGGTTCAGTGTGTTGTGCATTTAGAGACGGTTCTCTGCATACGTTGGTTGTGGTTCTCTGAGTTACTGTTTCCTTTCTATCATCTCCAACCAGTAGGATTGTTCTCTGACTTCTGGCATCAACAAGACTTTTTCATTCAGTGTAAACCCAGAGATGGTTGTGATGAAAATCTCGATGAATCAGCAGGTTCTGAAACAGACCAGCCCATCTGGTACTGACAACATGTAACATTTAAAGTCACTTAAATCCCTTTCCTTCTCCATTCTGATGCTCACTTTGAACTTCAGCAGCTCATCTTCACCTTGTCTACAGGACGAAATGCACTGAGCTGCTGTCATGTGTTTGGCTGATTAGATATTTGTGTTGAGAAGCAGGTGAACAGGTGAATCTAATAAAGATGCCACTGTGTGTAGTTTGTACTGCTGCTGTTTTCAGATGAGACAGGATGGAGGAGGGACTCCGGTTGGAGTGTCTCAGAAATCATGTGACTACCTGGAATATAAACCAACTGGTCCTCAGCGTCACAGAGCGTCTGAACCCAGCAGCTCAGGTAAGATCACTTCACATCAGGAGATTCACACACTGGAAATCAGATTATTCAGACAGATTATCCTCTAAAGTTAAGCTCTTCATGGAAGATGGAAATTAAACTTTCTTTTGTTGAAAACTTAAGACATCGGAGCTTTCCAGTTTGTTTTTATGCTGCTGATCATTTTCCAAAGCCTCCTACAGCTGTTAGATTGCTGTCCTTCCCCTCAGACAGCTGTTGCTTTCAGGTTGTTTCTGCTAAAACTACTCAGAGCACCTTGTCCACCAATTGCAAGATTGAAGGTTTGATTCTCAGCTCCTCCAAGACATTAAACCTGCTTTGCTATCTGATTGTTACAGTGGCAGCAGTGTCTAAAACAACCAACAAAATAAAACATGTTAATAACAGGAAATGACAGCATGATGACCGTTGTGCCCAACGATAGGAAACACTGCTGTTGCACTCGAAAAGTTATTGAGACAAAAGACCAATGTTGACATGATGTTGTGGAAGAGCTACAAAGAGAGAAAACAGTGTTTAATGATGAGAACTGTTGCACGTGAAGTGCTATGAAGACTAAACAGTGCTACATTATGTTATTGCACCTGAGAAGTTCTAAAGAGAACCTGTGTGCCATGATGTTGATGCATTTTCGGAGCTTTAAGGAGAACAGTGTCACAGTCTGTAGTTGCACAAGTAGCACTATCATGTTCTGGATGTGTTCAACAGTCTGACAGCAGGAAGAACGCTACTGCAGCTTCTTCCTTTTTCTGCAGACGGTTTAACTCAGAACATCAAGGTCCTTTTCATATGAAGCTAGAAAAGCTGCCTGCTGACTGCATAAAGAACACGGAGCAGACAGAGCAATACAACTCCTAAATAACTGATGAGTCCAACATGTGAGTGTTACACTGCAGTCTGTGTTTAGCAAACCAGGAACTACCAAAACCTGTCATTAATTCAACATCACGTCTCTGTTGGACCATTGACAAACAGAGATGTTTGTATCAGCACAGCATCATTGGAAAATGTACAGTACTGATGATGATGATTAACATTCACTACTGTTTTGCCTGGAGTTTGATTCTTAGTGGGAGTAATTAAAGATGATTAAAAGCTAAAGAAAATAATCAGTCTCCTTAACATCTAAGATATTGTGTGCTAGTGTTTATTCTGCCTGTATTCTGTTGATGTAGATTAAAAAACCTTAACACGGAAAATACTCGAGAAAAAACAGCAGATGCAGTCTGTCAGTGAGCTTCACTTCCTGTGATTAACAGCTGAATTGTGTTTTATTCATGTTGGTGGTAAAAAAAAAAAAAAAAAGGCAGTCTGAGGTTTTGCCTTTGTGCTGACTTTAATCTGGTGGTGATTTCCCCTTTTATTTCTGGTTTAAGGCTGCCTTGAACCGACCTGTAGGAAGCATAATGTCTGCCATTCATGTGATTTCATAAACACAGCTGCACACAGAAAAACTTAGAACAAACCAATACGTCCAGTTTACAGTGGTTGTTAAAGAGAGTTTGTGACAGCATTTCTTGATTAGACTGACATGCAAAGTTAGTGATGTAACATTGCATCAGCGGTGAGTCCTGCAGCTGATTCTGTTGCAGGTTGTGCTACAGTGGTCTGATTTAAATTTGTAGCTTCAGACTTTTTAGCAGTTTTCAGTGGAACAACCTGCTGACTGCTTTTGACCAATAACTTTCCTATAGTTTATATTTGAAAATCCTGGAATACTGTTCTGCTAACTACTACTAAAACAGAACAAGAAGAAGAAGAAGAAGAAGAAAACTGTAAATTTCCAACAGCTGGGACACAGGACACATACTATAAAATAATAGATAATAACCATCTCAGAAAAAAACACAAATTGACAAGAATTAAAATACATTTAACCCTCGTTCTACATAATGTGTGTAAAAAGCTATAAAACTACCTATACATATGGTAATAATGCAATAATACAAATAACCAGGCTTAACACTGGAGAGAAGTGTTGTTATCAGTGTGGTTTTATTGTAAACATTTATGTAAAAATGTATACTGAAAAAAAGTCTTGTATAATGCAATAAAAACATGTTTCAAATTGTGAGAACGTGCTGCTAAGTTTACAATGTAATATAAAAAGCAATAATGTAAGAATATAATGCTGTAATTTGTAGTAATGAATAATTATGGTAAAACATATGTAATTATACAAAATATCTGTCATTTAACAAACTTAGTTAATAAAAAAAACATTTTCTGTCACTAGTTGTATCTAATATCAGAAATATATTTACTAAACTTGAATACAATGGTTTTATCTGTTAAATAAAAATGAATTATATGAACTTTTTTATTTTTTGTAAAAATAGCAAGCAATTTAAATTCAGTTTATTCTTGTTATTTAATTAATATTTACTAGTATTTTAAAAACACTGAAAAAAGCTGAAAGATAAATATTTAATTTTTTTCTTTTCTTTTCTTTTTTTTTTTACAGTTTGATGGGTGGTTTTGGACATCGATTAGCAGGCCTGGAACATGTAATGTTTGGTAAGTAGTCCTTTCACATCTGTACACTTCTTAACTTTCTGTTTCACTTTATACAGTCTTTGACTGTGTAGCTTTATTTCATGAAAGACGCTGTGATTAAGGGTTTCTGATGTTTCTGACCCAGATGCCAGCACGCCAGTTTGATCCTCACAGCTCTCTGTATCAGGCATCACCATGGCAGCACAGTGAGTACAACACTAATCTCCGTTAAATACTTTAGTTAATAAAATATGACACTGAGGCCAAAATGAAGTGTCATTTAAGCCCTTTTCAGACAACTGATCTGTAATATTTCAGCTTCATCATTCCGTTATTCAGCCTCTTTAATGTTCCTCAGCTCAGTTCAGACACAACAGTGATGGAGAAATGCACTACAGAGACATGAAATCTGTCATTCACACAAGATTAGACAGTACAGGTCCTATCTCTCTGTCGGGGATCACTTCTAATTGTAAATATTTAATGAAGTTATGTCATGTGCAGTTCTTTCTCTTCGGAGATGTTCATCAGGATCCTGCTGTCGGCTGATGCTGCAGGTGTTTAACACATTCAGAGGAAAGATTAGTACAATCAGCTGAAAGCAACAAACTAAACTTTAGCTCCTGTTCATGTTGGTAAAGACATTAATTTTGCTGAGTTTCATTGCCTAGAGCAGTTGGTGTTTGTTTTTATCACAGTAAAATTTAATTATTCTGAACGTTGTTCATCACTTTCATGAAACCCAGACAGCTCTAATCACTCTGGGGGCCTTGGGTACAACAGACTCTTCCCTCATAAGTCAAAGAGCTGCATGACAAGTTATGTAAGCATCACCCCCGTGTAACCCTGAGGTCAATCATCCTTCTCCACCTTCACCTGGTTGTCTTGCGCCTTTACTAAATTCTGTAAGACTCAAGTCAACACAGACTAGCAGGGATTTTAAAACTGAACAATCACATCCTGAAGAGTTGTGTGAAGATTGTGGCATATAGCAACCATGTTCAGCAGCCAGTTCAGCCTCTTCTTCATAGTACCGAAGCTTTCAAAGGGGATGTGCTTTCAGCTTCTCATGTTTTGAGACTTGCTCCCCAGTTGTCCCTATTTGCTTCCTGTGTTGCAGCCCCCACCTTTACATACGTCACCCGAGATGATGCCAGACAGTTTGCTCTGCTCAAGATGGCTCTTGACCATTTTCAGCTTCATGATGAAAGCAAACAGTTCAAACATCATTTATCATTCGACCATTAGAAGTTGGATACAACCTGCCAAAAGACTTTGGCTGATGCACTTTATTCCCTGCCTTTCAATAGAGCTCTGTTAGTCTTAAAGCAGAGGTATGACCAGTTGCAGCATCTAGCACGAAGAAAATCACAGATATCCAGAAACTTCCCTTTGTTCGCCATGGTGATTCCAGAAACTTTAAAGACTTTGCCATCTGAGTCTGAGCTTGTGTGGATTTGCTACAGTCTCTAGAAATGGTGGAGGAGATGTGGAGTCGAGTTGTGCATCTCATGTACAGTAGCTTCTGGGAAAGCCTTTTTCTAACGACACTAGACTCAGCTGTGCTACAAAACCAGATGTTCCCTATAATACAAGGTGTGTCAGAAAAGTTCCAGGACTGATGTCACAAAAGATAGATTTCAAATCCAAACTACAAACTACAAGTTTTCCCCTTCGTAGTAATCCCCCTGGAGTCTAACACACCTCTCCAGCCTTCTTTTCATGCTGCCATGCACTCCTGGAAGGATTCTTCCGGGATCCTCCGTGGCTCCATCGTCACAGCCATCTTGATGTCGTCCAAGTCTTCTAAACGGGTCCCCTTGATGACCCCTTTGAGCTGGGGAAGAGGAAAAACCCCCACAGAGCCAGGTGGGGTGAATAGGGAGGTTGCTCCAGCATGGAGATGTTCTTCTCAGCCAGAAACTGTCGGATGCTCAGGGCATTGTGAACAGGAGTGTTGTCATGGTGAAGCAGCCACGACTTGTCCTGCCACAACTCTCGCCTCTTCTGGTGCACTGAACAACGCAAACGCTGCAGGATCTCTTTGTAGACCTGCTGGTTGATCGTCTGAAGGGGAAAACTGGTAGTGAGTAGTTTGGGATTGAAATATATCTATTGGTTGACTTCTCAACCTAGTTGGAAGAGGAAGCAGAGCATCAAGCTATGGCCATGAAAACATGAGAGAGTCGAAAAGTGCTGAAAAAATGGTCTAACAATCTAGTGGCTGCTGTACTTCATGGAACTAGCCACCCTCAAAATCCAACCAAGGAAACTATGACTGAATCTTCTACCCATCAGACATGCTCCGTCTGTAGTGTCCACTGTTTAGTTGTTTGTCCAGATTTCCATCAGTTGTCAAAAGATGCTATCAAAAGGTGGTTCAAAGAGAAAGGGTATTGCTGCAGAGGTGCATGCAAACACAGAACTTCAAACTGCAACCTTGATGGAGCAGTCCCTCATTTCCCTCATGCCAAAAAAAAAAAAAATCCTCTACATTAAGTGCAAACAAGATGTTAATCTTACAGAATGCTTTAACTTCTGAAACATTGTGCCTTGCACCACATTCCTGTCCTGTTCAGGCTCTGCAAAAGATTCAAGCCCCTGCATGGTTTACCAGTCCAGGCTTTTCAGAGAGTTCAGCCTCTGCTTCTTATTGGCCCAGATCACAATCATCTTGTATGTGCTGTTGAATGGGTTAGTTTAAGTCCAGTTGGTGGCCCAACAGCTACTCATACCTGCCTTCTTGTGCTTTGCAAGGTTCAAGTGTTAAAGTGGACACAAGTGGTACGATTACTACAAGTACTACTATGACTAAGAAGCAATGTTTTATCACTCAGCAAGGCCGATGTCTCATCATGTCGAGTTATTTTAATACCAACACCACACTGTAAAAATAAGCAACATTATCTTTATTAAACAGGTTTTTCAATATATACATATAGAGAAAAGAAACAACAAAAAGAACAAAATACATCATCTAACATCAAAACGCTCCCTCTAACCAACGGATGGAAATTTGCCTTATATATATCTATATCTATATATCTGTGTGTGTCAACCATATATATCTATAAATATAAAATACATACATTACTTTTGGGAATAAAAGAGGATTTGAGAAAGTTGCACCAAGCTTCAGTGACTCGAAGTTACTTGTGTGCATGCTGTGATGCTGCGGCGCTGTTCTGCTGATGGATGGATCCGTTGATGGTCTGGTCAGTCTGGTGATGTGGGTCAGAACAGCAGTGGACAGAGTGGAGCCTCCGAGTCGGTCTTGAAGAATTTAGGAAGCGCTTTGCTAAGACTCTTAGGAAGGACTCTGGGCCTTCAATTTTGTGATGATAGTCTCATCAGTGATTGTTGACACCATATTAAGAGCAGTGGGCAGCAGGAGGTCCTCAGCTACTGGATCCGTGGTTTCTTGCACTTGGCGATTCTGTTACAGGGCTCCAGACTAACTTTTCCAGTGGTAGCATGGTGCTACCAACTTTCTTCATTGGTCACACCAGCTAATGATCTGGTCGCCCCACTCCCTTATGTTGGTTCAGCACTGCCACAGCTATTAATGCACCATGCAGCTGGTGAACAGCTGTTTCTGCATAACTTA